TGGGGGCTTTGGGGGTTATTTTTTTATTCCAAATATTCTACTTGTTTTGTTATGCATGATCTCCCTTTTCAGAATCTATGTGGAGTATCTTTAATTAAATCATAACTTTCCCTTTTTTGTCCCTGATTACTGTTTCCTATATATTTCCCAATGCTGACTGGTGTTTAAGGTCCTTGATCTTCCCTAGAGCTGTTATATATAGGTGTTGCAACAAGCCGAGACACCATGCCCAGCATTTGGAGGCCAAGGCCCCTGTCCTGTCCCCAGACCACATGTTCTCCTCCGCCTCGCTATTTTGGATTCCCCAAGACAGAGATTGTTTCTTTGACCCTTCATGTATTTTTGCCAGGCCACATGTGTATTTTCTGCTGATATGAAGTCATCTTTGAATGTTTGCCATTTCTGTATAGAGTAGTTTCCTCCATTCCTTTATTCCATTCAGGGTCTGCTCCTCCTCTCATTGAAGTCAACTGGGAGTTGTGCCATTGCCTTCCTCGAGAGCAGCAGTGACTGTGATGCACAGATGCTTTAAGCATGCTCTCTAAAATCACCCCTGCTGAAATTGAACATTGATACTGAGCTTTATATTTTAGTTGTAAATCCAACCCTAACTCCTCGAACGCTTATTCTGTTTGAAGAATGGCTACTATGAAGAAGCCCATTAATTTTAATGTAACTCTCCATAGTTAGATTTGGGTCATAACATTTCCACTGTCATGCCTGCAAAAACATCAATAGAAAACTCAGGTTTCCTGGACATTGCATCACATGCACCAAAATCTGGTTGTCCTTCTTCGCTGTCATTACAAAACTTCTGCTCCTACAAATCCTGCTCAAGTAGTGTTTAAATCTTTTGGGAAAAAAAAAAAAAAAGATGCAAATAGATAATAAGAGGGGAAAAAAAGCTATGAAAATAACCTATGAAAATAACATTGAGTAGTTTTTTTAACATATATTTTTAAAAGCAGCATGAAAACTTTTATTATGTATTTCCCTTGCTAATAGTGTTGTGGGTCACATGCTTCTGTCCCCACAAACTGTCATGGAAATGAACCCACTGGACTTGTGACTTCAACCAGAAAATAGTTGCTCTGTCCTTAGCTCACCCCACTGTGACTGAGGCTTTACAGACCAGATATGGTATGTAAGCTCACAGTTACTTCTTGGAGACCATGGAAACCCGAGTATGGCTGCCACTCCATTGTTGATGGAGTGGCAGCCTTGACTGTGAATATTTTTTGCTAAAGTCAAACAGTGAATGTTACTGTAATGACATTTTATATCTTTCCTCCTATATTCTAGTAGAGGGAGCCACAGGTGTTCCACTGGAATTACTCACACATTTATAGAATTGGACATTCTGTCATTAAATGGACTTAAAACTAAAAAGCCTTTGTCTGAGAAAAGTGACCAATAGAAAGGGACTTCGGATTATCTGATATCCCATAACTTAATCATATGGCTCTTAAGAGTAGGGCATAAGCAGCTGTGTCTCGCTAATATGCATGCAATATGTGTAAAGTGATATGCTTTAATTCTAAACTTGTTTTTAGCAGGAAGAAAAAAGCATTTAGATGAGGAACATTAGATTCAGCATTAACCATTTTTTTTTTCCTCAGGGCAAAATTATTCATCACCTGATATTTATTAAGGCAACATTTTTATTTGACTGCTCTGTACTGTAAGGAGTTTTTTCCAAATGTTCTCAAAGTTGTGGGGGAAGTTTTATAGGCAGATTTGCAGACAGTATTTAAAGTGGTTTTCAGAATCAATGAATTCGAGAAAGACATTTTCCTTTTCCTAAATAGTAATGTTGTCAAATCTCACGGTGGAAATAACTGAGATAAGCAGTCATTTAATTTATTATTTAATTTTCATTTTTATCCATCCTCCCACGTTACATGAACTTCATTTCTGTATTGTAGCCTTAATTGTTAGTTTGTGTTGGTTTAATCTCCCTTATTTAAGTATGTTTTCTTTAATAATATTAAAAAAAAAAAAAAAAAAAAAAAAAAAAAAAAAAAAGACAAAGAAACTGTAGATTAGAGACTTTATTTTCAGGGTAAAATGATACGGATAAGTGAGCGTCAACTGACCAGAAATTATTTGCTTCTGTCTGTTAGACACGTAATGGAGTCATTTAACTAGTCAAATTAGGAGCTGTAGAAATGCACCATGCTTCATTACTGAGTTCGAATGGGCACCATTTTACATTTACGTCAAAAATTATCTCATAGCAAATTAATGTTTTCATTGTGCCGAGCTGCCGGAGCTGTGCAGTGTTAGCACCACCTAGAGGATGTAGCACAGAAGGTTTGGGGATATTTTCCATAGAAAAAAAAAAAAAAAAAAAAACGGAGAGGAACGGTATATTTAAAAAGCAAAGTACTTCAAACAAACCTGTTCTATCCCTAAAACGGTCTCGCAAGTTTCATTTTCCCCTGCTCTTACAGCCTGCACCAGTCCCGTAGCAGCTCTGCATTAACTGCACACAAGCTACAAGTGTTTAGGGCACATTTGAGGTTCCTTCTTCTGTAAGACCCTTCAGTATCCATTCCACTACTTGTCTATTTTTAATGCAAGAAGATGTCATTAAAAGTCAGAATATTCACTTGAAAAATCCAGAGAATGTGCTACCCTGACCAGCTGGGAAAAAATGTCCAGACATCATGAGGAAGGCTCTATTCTTTGAAATTTCCTGAAAAGCCTTATAAAAGGCTTTGGAAAGAAGGAAGCTATCATTTAACAGATTTCATACCTACTTGACTAATGGAAAGCCCAGCACCTTCAAGTGCACAGACAAGACAAAAGAGAGACAAAAGTGAGGGCAGTAGGTAGACTTCCAGCTTGAAAAGCTTCAAGCAGTGAATAGCTACAACGCAGGCACGGCACTAAAGAAAAATAATACAGCAAGCTAGAAACAGTAACATAAACTGGAGGCTGATAGCAGTACACAGTTTAGAGCAGGGTGCCTGTGGGCAGGAGGCAGAGCAGAGCTGGATGGGCGTCCCAGGGGACGCAGGCCCGCCAGGCACAGTGGGCAGGCCTGGCAGCCAAGGATGGGAGGCCTTTCAGGGCATGACACGTTCATAACTAAGTGGTGTTTTGATGGTGTAGTGCCCTCGTCTGCCACAGCTGTGTGGTTTAGAGCTTCAGTAAGACTCCTGGAATTATGGGGAAGGAAAGACAAAAGTTATCACAAGCGGCCCAAGAGACCTGAGGCCATGCTGTTACAGCAGGTACTGCACAGTCTGGGTTCCAGCCCGCCCAGCTCAGCGGTGGCTCCTCTGGCTCCATCAGTGGTCCTCGGCTTCTGCCCACTGACTGGGGGCACAGAAGCCTATAGCAGGCAGGCTATCAAGGCAGGGCAGAGCATTGTGGTGGCCCTACCCAGACTTCAGTCTATGTGGATCAAAAAATATCATTCAGAAATTCTCCCAAGGAAAGTTTTTTTTGTGCATGTGCCCATGATGACAGGATAGTCTTGTGAGTGGAAATCTGCAGGATTTGCGCCTTGGATATGGTCTGTATTAAATATATTTTATAAATTGACCAGAATATCTCCACATGCCTTCCAATTTTATTCAATTGTGTGCATAACTGAATTAATTCTCCATATTAATATTCCTAGAAGACCTCTATAGAACAAAACAAAAATACAAAGTATTTTGACACAAAGCACGGGAGCCAGAGACAAAAATGAGTTAGAAGAGGAAGTGGACCAGAATTCGTTTAGGATTACACTTATCTTTGGAGCAAATGATCACTCATTAATAAAAATGCTGCTGCTAGTTGTAGTTTGAAGACAAAAACTCTTCATAATTGCCAAGTGTATTATTTTTGTTAGTATATTATTTTTCATATTTCAATGAGATGCTCTTCAGGATCCTTTTGAAAATCAAATAATTACTTGTGATATTATTTCACAGCTAAGTATGGTGTCTTAAACACATACTGTGCTGTAAGTTCAAGAATTTGACAGTGACTTTAGGGCCACAGTGATGATAATGCCAAATTGGTAGATGATAGAACATGCCTGTGAGCAAGTTTTCTTTTGTTCTAGACAAAGCCTCCCCCTCACTCCACCCTCCCCACCCCACCCCGTTTTAAATGGCTTAAGCTCATTGCGGAAAAGGATTTCTTTGAAACACCAAAGAAAAAATGTTAAGAGCCTTGCTTACAAGTACCCTGGTATTTTCTTCTTCTTTTCTTCTTTTAACTGTAGAAGCACTTTACCTATTATCATGAATCTTGTCTGCTGAGATAGTTCAGCCTTCATGTTATGTTTACCAAGGCCAGACTAGAGGATCAAATAATTTATAACCATTCCTGTTGGGTTTTATGTAATAACTTTGGAACTCATATAAAGTAATGATCCACAAACTCTTTTAATGTTCATTATAAAATATGAAATATTTCTTAGAACCATTGCAATTATGTGACCAGACATAACTGTTTCACACATGAGTAAATACAGGGAGGTTTAACATAACTTTATTATCTTCCTGTCTTTTCCTCTCATTGATGTGATAATACTGTTTTAATATTTTTCTAAAGAAAAGTTAAGTAATTTCAGAATCTCTATTGAGACCTAGTTTATTGTTTTTTGTTGTTGTTTTTGTAATAGAGTACGCAAGAATAATTGTATTTATGATTAGATTGATAGTAGTAAATGTTGTTGTGCTGAATAGGAGTAAAATACCCTGAAATATTTACATCATTATGGATGAATATATACACATATGTTGGTAGGAAGAAATTATTAATATCTGTCTGTCTGTCTATGCACTTATATTATGCTCATCATAGTACCAGAGCACCTTCTCTGGAGACTTTCTGGGGTTTAGTAGTTATTAAAATGTCAGTAGATATAGGATGGCAAAACTCATTAAGACTACATTAAAGAAAACAATACAAACAAACAAAACAAAACAACAACAACAACAAAAAAAAAAACATCCCACGTCCTTGCCTGATACTTAGAGCTAGCCCTTAATTTCTCCCAGTTCTTCTGATTTTCCTGGATTTAGATGAGACCGAAAGCGGAGCCTGGCAGAAGCCCATCTCTCTGTTGGAGCTCCTGAATCAGACCAAGTTCCTCTCGAACCTGTCTGAGGGCTTCAGGGCGTTCCTGCCTGTTCTACAATTTTCAGGCTAGGAGAACTTTGTAGTTCGTGGCTCAGAAGCTTTTCACACTTTTTATCTCTGCTGTACCTCTTACAGGAATGACAGACTCCTAAGCCTATCTCCAAGATCTCGTCTGTCTGTCTGAGCTACAGCATATGCAGTGAACATTTGGTGCTAACACAGGGAAAAATAAGCCACCCTGGAGAAAACAGCATGCAGAGAAGTTCATAGTGCACAGAGGGATGTTTGCCTTACCACATTTCCCCTGTTCTTTGAGGAGCAGCACCCAGCTGTAAGCCTGCTACACTGCCTACACATGCATGCCCCAGTCCTGCCACACCTCTCTGGTGGCCCCAAGCATGGCCTGCAGGCTGGGGACATAAGGTGCACTGACATTTTGGCAGCAGTGGCTTTACATGGCATGGACTTCTCTAGCCTGCTCTCAGTGCTGTGAGATTGCTGTTCTGGGTTGTGGAACCATGGAGGACCTGAAAACGGGGCCAGGAGGAGCAGGTGTAATTCAGCCACGTAAATCCTGTGACTACACCAAAACCTTGTTCTGGTGTGTGTGGGGGAGAAAAAATAATAAAAGTAAATAGATAATAATAATAAAAAGTAGCTAATCTGTGTGTTCAAACAGGAAAACGTGCTGCATTATTTTATTTTACCAACATAAGTTGGTAATTTAAAATAACAGAATTTTGGTCTCTGGTAGAATGGTATTAAACAAATATCACTAGGAAAAAATAATAAATAAATAAATAAAAATATCTGGCCAAAAGAGCATGATCTAATTAAGAACAGCCTTAATAAACTGAAGCCATTTTTTTCCTAATTCTCCCCGTGTCTGCTTGCAAAATCTGCCCGCTGTCTTTCCTCTTGTAGACACGTTGGGGTGGGAGCTGCCTTTTGGCAGTGCTGTGAGGGGTCAGGATTGCACATGGGCTGGTCATGGCACTGCCAAAGGGTGGCAGCCACTGCAACAGACATGACGGGAGCTGGCGTGGTGTTGTCCCGAAGCACAGATGGTATTTTAGGTACTTGATGTATACTTGGTGCTGGAGTCCTTGTCTGATTGGATATGTGGTTCTCCAGAGAAACAGGAACTTTGGCACTGGGAAAATTGTCTGGTGTAACAGCCCTGGAGGGGCTTCCTACTGTCTCCATAGACTTGCAGGGCAATCAGAGGTTAAATTCCTTCATTCCCTTTGTGCAAGGACCCCTGAATTTCATGCGTTAAGAGAAGTGAATCCAGAGGTGTTATTTTCATGAGTTGGGAATAACTTGCAAGATGCCAAGTGCTGAAGCGAAGTAGAGCCATGAATCCATTATACATGGTCATTCCTAATAGAAGAGAGAAATTCATTATTTCATAGAATCCCCCTGTTGTATGTGATATTTGCAAGGCGTTATTTTCTCTTTAGTTTCAAATTAAAATGTCTTTATTTTTCATTATGAAATGTTAGAGAATTGAAGAACAAGTCTAGTTTTATTTAGCAGTAGCAAAACTGTATAGCAAACAATATGATGAGAGGTGTAGAGTTTGCAGAAGATGCAATGAACAGCAGTACTATGACTGGGTCTCTATTTTCATATTTGTGATTAGTTTTGTCCAATTTTAAATATGAAAAGTTTTTCTGGTAGACTATTTTCTCATGAAAAATCTGAAAGTTGGAAAGTAAAGGATAACTTTTATTTCCAGTCATTTATGGGTTTTTATCAAACATTACAGGAAATACTTTTATCATTTCCTATGGCTGTTTTTTGTTTGTTTGTTTGTTTGTTTGTTTTGTTTTGTTTTGTTTTGTTTTCCCCAGGCAGAGTTACAGAAGTTAATTTACTTTGCACAGAAAATTAGACTTTACCTTGCCTTTGGAAAGTCTGAAAAAGTCACAATGGGACTGTGAAAGATTTTACTTTGCACATAATAGGATACAGCTCAACATAGCATAAAGGTCCACATTTACAGTATCAGAATGAATATCTGCTGAAGACAAAGATTTAGAGAAGCACTCTGGGGTCTTTCCTTTCCAGAGTTCAGGGGACTAGATAGACCCATAATGGAGAGTCTATATTGCCACCTCTTCTGAATGTCCACAATTAGCTTCATTTAAATCCTTTTTTTCAGTGGAATGTGCAGTTCAATTACCCAGGGATAAGGTGTTTTCATTTGTGTGTTTTGTTTTGTTGCTTGGTTGTGTGTTTTTTTTGTGTGTTTTTATTTGTTTTTGATATTTTTTTCCACCACTCTGTGCTTAAGACATTAGCAAAAACATTGTTAATTTTCAGTGTGTTTAGTCTGAGTATCCACTACACAAATTCTTATCATGAGCCTGAGCTGGTGCTCCAGTTTGAGTAACAGTCACATAAAAGGTGTGTATACACGTTCTTCACCACAGATAAATTCGATTTGTATTTTCAGACATGATTCGCTTTGTTCTTTGGAACTGCTATACTGAATATTCAAGGCATGTATGAATTAGTTCAACATATAGATGCATTTGGGGAACCTGGGAAAACTCAAAACAGCTACATTTTTAACTTGCCTCTGATGATAAATCGATTTATCGTGCACATGTTACATGTACATTTTTAGTATGTGATCAGAGATGTCTTAGTTTAACATAGCATTTTTCCTGTGATATTATGAACTAGAAAAGCTATCTTCAGTCCTGTCAGCACAAAAACTCCACAGCAGGAGGTGAAACACATGAAGCAGTTTCCAGGCCTCTTAACATACGCGATTTATGCAGTAGAAAAGGTTTTGATAGCTTAACTTTTTTTTTTTTTTTCATTTTGTTTTGTTTCAAAACAATAGCCAAAAAACAAACAAACAAACAAACAAAAAAAACTTGGTTATCTAATAATTGACTTTTTGTTACTAACTTGAGACACTGAGATTTTCTGGAGAAAAAAAAAAATCCCAATTATTTACCCCTACTCCAATATACAGTTGAACCATCCTTACCTGTTTTATTAGGTGTTGTCAGAGATGAGAAGGGCTGTATGTAGTTAAGAGCAAACCATGATGAGACCACATAGGTTGAGGTACAGCCAGCATTGACTATGCTCCAGTCCCCTAAAGCAGTGATGCCCAGCTATGTGTTTTTTCTGCTGTAGTGCTTCAGAGCAAGAGCATTGATGCTGAGTGAGTGCCTCTATCTAAGGTGGACATCCCACCCATTAACATCTTGATTTACGTACACGGAAGATCTGCACCACAGGCTGCAGACATACCACCTAGAAGGGAGCAGTGTAGGGCAAAACTTGTTCATTTTCCCCTCTGATTTGGTATGTGAGTATTTCTTCACCTTATTTGCAAAAAAAAAAAAAAATTAAAAAATAATAAACATATTCAGCTCTGCCTTCTCGGGTGATCTCCCCCTTTCTCATGCTTTGGATTTCTTAGCAACCCAAATGCCCTTTGCAGGCAAGGGTGCTGCTGTTTCCAGTCTTTTGCTTAGGTGTTTGTCTCCACCTTAACTTTTCCTTGTTCAGCCAGCAAAGGGGTAGGCCATGTCAAGGAGAGGCAGAAGCTAACTGTCCTTCCACCCCTCCGCTCCCATTTCCCATCTCTACTAATAGGACTCAGCTGTCACTTTTCAACCTGAATGCAAGAGTTAGCAGCTGATCCTAGAGCGATTTATCAGAAGAGCCCCACATTTCTGTATGGCTTTCAAGTATGCCACCATATTTCAGGATTACTGAAAAGGGCAAGTAGGTCCAATGACCTACTTACATATGACCAGCAACTATGAATAACAACTGCATAGTGACCAAGGTGCTGTGACCTGTATAATGTAGTAAAATTAACTTTTTGTTTTGATTTGTTTTTTGTTTATAGAAAAAGTGTAGGTTTTGTAAAATGTTCGGAATACCTGAAAAGTATTGTTGGGTGTGTAAGTAAATTCAGACATGAAAATATGTGACCTACTTCAGAATTGTAAGTGGATAACATTAGTATTGCTGTGTCCTTCCAGGATTTAGCTTATAATGCTATCTTTGGTCATACTTAAAAGAAAGCTAATTTGTGGGCTTTCAAGCCAGGACTAATTTTTAAAAAAATTATATATATATATATATATATATATATATATATTTTTTTATAAGTTCCTCTGTAAAGAAATTTAATTGTGCATCTTTCTGAATAATTCTCTCCATAGTATAGCGAGTGAACGTGGAACACTTAAAAAAAAAAAAAAAAAAAGTTGTTGAGTACCTTAAAAGCATCAGATTAAACATAAATATAGCATATGAAGTTCCTTTTTTTTAAGTATACTGTTCATAATCATCTTTTGTCTATTAACATCACCTCACATATGAAATCTGAAAACTGCTGTCCTTAGACCTCAGTATCCTCTTGCGATGGATGTACATGGAGTTGTTGACTGTCAATACTGTTGAGCCTACAACTGGCACACTAAGGTTAGCTTGCCCGTGACATTGTCTCTTGAGATTCAAAGGATGTCATTCCTGTCTAAGTGGTAGAGCGATAATACATCTGCGCTCTCTGTCTGTGACACCTCGCTGTCATGTGGCTTTGTCAATGGACAACAATGCCTGTCAGTTTGTTATGAGGCCCAACATAAAGTGTACATCACCCTTGACATACTGTAAAGTGCAGTGTATAACGAGGGTTATGCCTCATGTCCACAGAGTCTAAATGTTCTGTTCTGAAAGCTTGTATTAAATAATAATATCCTCACAAGACCGGATTCTGCTCTCAGCCATGTTGTTGAAAACTCACGTAGCTCTGGACCTCAGAGGACCCAGTTCTGCCTACCTCTGATTCTGGCAGGTTGGAAGATTAAGTGAACAAAACCTTAAGTGATGAATTTCATCCAAGAAGTGTTAAAATCAAGGAGGGCAATTTATGAGATTTTAATGCATTGTATCCCATGCACATCTAGTCCTATATCTGGCACTGCTGCTTTTTTTTTTTTTTTTTTTTTTTTTTTCAGAATAAGAGTGAAAGGAGAATTCAGTGGAGTCACTTGGAGTTTGGATTGATCTAACGGGAATCCCATTTTCTTGGAAAGATGATTCAGAAAATGTTTTCAAAATATTGAGGGCTAGGTGCTGCAGGTACTTAGACTAAGCAAAGGAAAATGCAAATTTCTGTTTCTTTTCAGTCTTCCTCATGCTACTTATCTCTCCTGAAATGCATCCCTCTTTAGACATTTGTAATAATGGGAGGACATTCACAAAAATAAGATATTATTGTTCATCGAGATTTTTCAACAAATCCTACCAAGCCTCTAGATCATCTGTCACTACATACAGGGTCTTCCTTATATATGTATCTATGTATAAATAATGTGTGCATGCACAGACACAGCATCTGATACAGTGCTATTCTCCCCCTTACTGAGAACCTGGGTGCTATTGCTAAATACACTTTAAACAGTATTAATACTGTTAAAAAGTTAACACAAGTTTTCTGCACAGACAGTTCTAAAGACCCAACTCTATCTGATTTCTTGTTTAGTCAATGTTAAAATGCCCCAAAGATCCTGTTGGCAGATGCTGTAGGGGAGGGACTTCCATAAATGTGTTTGTACTTTGATAAGAAATAGTACTTTGTTAAAATACACAAATAGCGCATGCTGTTTTTTTTTTTTTTTTTTCCAAGGGCCATCTTTTCACTTAACTGCTGTTAAGTTCAGAGTTTATCAGCACAGTTAGTTCTGGTTAACTTTTATTGTTACAAATATTTCATGTTCTGTCTACACAGCTACTATCTGGAGACAAAGTCTGAATATTGTAGTAAGGTGTTTATAATGCTGAAGTCTGCATTGAAATTGGCTGAATTGGTAGATATAGATTTCTAGGCTAGCTTTGATAGCCTTGTGGTGAAAAAGCCCTCTGTATTGATTCTCACCAGGGACTATATTGTTAAAATACATAAATGTAAAAATTGACTTAGGGAATAAAAAATAAATGATAGCTATAAATCAGAGATAGCTAATAAACAAATAAATATCTATCACTATTATATCTTGGTATTTCCCAAAGATATCTGAAGAGAACTTAATTGTAACTGAGTAATCAATTATTCAATTAACCTTCTTCTCATTGAATATATATTTGATATAACTTTTTGAAGCTTGGACTCTAAAAGGTTTATATTGATTGCAGGTTTCAAGGCCATATGTTTCAGTTACTGGATTTGAGCAGTCAAAATTGACATCCTAAGTTCACTAGAATATGTAAATATTTTGAAGTAATGAGTATCCAAGATTGTTGGAGTTACACCGTTAGTTTTCATTACTTGTTAAAACTGCAATCCTTTGTGATTATGAAGTTCATGTTAGCAGAACATGTCATTTAAATACATCTGTTATTCAGAGGACAAGGACACAGCTTATTTTGTGGTCTGGCTACAAACTGATGGCAAGCACTTCCATAAATTAATTTTCCACACTACTCTAGATAGAGTTGATAGGGAAATATTCCAGTATTTTGCTGTAAAATGATGCAAATTGTGGGAATTATTCAAGTGATAATATTTCAGGAAAGCACTTTTTGATTCTGCTTTGTTCCTGCTGGGCACCTGCATTTGGTGGACATCTTGCTCTTGGTGCTGGCTGCCAACCGGCACCCTTGGAAAACTGCGGACATTACCCACCTGCACAGAGAATTTAGATATTTTTATACTAAATTTTGTGATGGTTGCTTTCCTCTCCAGCTAACTTTAGTTTTTTAGTTGTCATTTTATAGCTAGGTTTCTTGAGGCTGTTTCTGTCAGTTGATGAAATGGACACATGAGGATGTGTCATGGAAGTGGGGAGGTCTCACTTTCCATGAACTTGTGTTTAAAATACACTCATTGCTTGTATACTCATCTTAACTGAGTAGTAACTTAAATTAAACCAACTGATTTCAAAAATTACCTAGCTGTAGTACCATAGCGAAATAATAAGAGGCAACAAAATTCTGTGTCCATTCTTTACAAGGTCAAAATGGGAAAGTGAAGTGTGGGGAGTTTAACCCATTCAGCAGAATTCTGAAGAAAGGTCCTGAGCAAGATGCTCTTTTCCTCAGTGTATTGGCAGTGTCACAAGGGCTTTATATTCTTTACATATTCACTGACTGCAATGTGAGGTTTCATTCCCATACCATTAGCCCCCAAGTCAAAGGCAAGAGGCATGCACAAGAAGATTTTTATTATTCTTTCCCAAACTATAAAATAATAATTCTTTACTCCTTTATTTCAATGAGTAAAGATATAATGGATTTCTTAATAAAAGTAAGACTTGTTAAATCTTTGATTGTTATCAGAGAGGAAGAAACAACTATACAAAGAAAAAAAACCTTGTGTATTATGTGATTTTAACTGCTCATCACAGTGCGAGGAGTATTCTATTAAGGATGGAATTTTCTGTGTCTCTTTGCTTCGGCTTTCTTGTGTGGACAGTTGATTTGTAAGGATATGAGGGATGTGGTGCTAAGTTACAGTGATTTACATACATGCAAAACCCCTGTGGTGGGCCAGTAACTTGCTAAATTCCTTCTAATGGTTTCTAGTTATATCCAAAGGAAAGGGCTGAAATGGGTTAATAATCTCTGATGGCCTTCAAAATTTGCTTGATTTAGCAGTGCAACAAAATATTTTTTTCTGGCAACTCTCTTGACAACCTTTTGATATTAAGAATTTGTGTGTGTGTGTGTTCTTCAGTGTGTAATAAATTAACTTGGCCCTGTAGAAAAGGTCTTTATAGAATCCTTAACAGTTGCACTCATTGAATAAACAGGACATTCTTCGTGTTAAAAAATAGCAATAATAATAATAAACTGGAGGGTTTTTTTCCCTCTTAAAATGTGTTCATAATCTAGATATCAGCAAACTTTCTTTTTCTTCCTGAAAAATACTATAAACAGTCTTGGTTTGACCTTGTTAATGCAGGACCACTTTAGTAATCTGTGCCTAATGATTTTTTACATTAAACCACAGCTTGTGTTGGACCCTTGTGTGTCACAGTAATTTAAGAACAGTCATTTTGCACATTCCGATCCCATTATGTTACATTGTTACTGAATAAAGACTGGTATTATGTTGCTCCTATAAAGGGCAGAAGTGGCCTGAATTTTATCTGCTGAACGAATCAATCTGGATTATGTCAGTTGAAAAGAATTGTGAACTGCAGTCTCCAGCAGATGGGGAGATTTTAAAAATGTATCTGTTTGGTTGTGAATACATCAGCTAGGATAATACCTTGTGGTGACTGAAAAGTAGTTTTTCCTCTCTTTTTTTTTTTTTTTTTTTTTTTTTCAATGAAGACTGTACCAATTATCATTTCAACATAAAGTATTAGGAGATCAATTGGGAACTGAATGCCATTTCCTAATGTTAATACAGTGTTTTATTTAAGCTGCCTTGACAGGCTGTCTAGGCTGTGGGAAAAAGACTGAGCAAATAATGAGTAAAGGGTTTAGAAAAAAGACAGAGGGTGGAGCTTGGCAAACGATGTGAGCTATTCATCAACAACTCAACAAGGATGATGGAAATAATAAGTACTCCTTAAAGAAAAGGGGAAAGGATTTTTTTAAAGAAACAGTTTCCTTAAAAAAAAAAAAAAAACAAAAAAAAAAAAACCAAAAAAAAAACACTTAACTTTGTATTACTTTCTGATTAGCTGATTTTAAACTTCCTTAAATCAGCAAAAGCTTTCCTTTGAAATGGGTAGTATGCATTTAAGCAGTGCATTTTTTAGCAATAAGTTTCTTGGTTGTTTTTTTTTATTGTTGTTTTTGTTTAAAAAGATAAAGAAAAAACATAAAATACAGTGTCTCATTTCTTGTTCATTCGTGCAAATTTCTTACCATGTGGAATTGTCATTTAATATCTAAAGTACATTAATGCATTTCCATAATGCCAAAACCCTCTGACAAATCCCCTGTGTGAAATAATTTGTGTGAACTTTGAACTAACCATGAATAAAATCAAAATCTTATTATGTCCTTTATTTATATGGT